AGATTTCTATCTATGAAAAAGCTAACAGGAGTAAGGTGGTGAGTTTTAATGTAGCTTAGTATATCATAATGAGAGACTGAATCACGTATAAGCCGACTGAGGATAAAGAGAAGTCTCCGTCTGTCTTCTTCGCCGCCATTACACACACACACGCACAGAAGAGATTGACAGAGTATTTTGACATTGGTTGGTGTTACAAAATGAAGTTCTTCCTCCTCTTTGCCCACCACAGAAAATCAATGAATCCCTAGTTCTCTAACAACAATACCTTACTTCTATAAACTACAAAGAAATCAATGCATAAATACCTTTACTCCGTTGCAGAAAAGACTCGTCGATGTGCCTTCATGTGATATCCAAGATAAATATCTGCAAAGCAAATAAAAACGAAATGCAGAAACCCTAGGTTTCTGGTGTCTGCGCGAGAAGAAGAAAGCTGGAGAGCAAGAAAACCCGACTAAGGAAACACCTTTTTTTGCGGAGAAGATTTTTTGTGCGAAGAATAAGAGGTATTTATACCTCTTCTTTTGGTGCAGCAACAGCCAAAACGCACCGTTTAAGGAAACGGTGCGTTTCGGCTTCCTCAAGGACGCGGGCCTATGGAAATCGGGTTTTACCTTAAAATCAAAACAAAAAAATATATTTAAATATTTTTTTTAAAACAAAATCATATGATATAGTCTTAAAATATTTTACCTTAAGATTTTTATTTTTCATATTTACTTTTTACGTTAATGTTAAATATTTTTTTAATAATATTTTAATAAAATTCTAAATAATCAAATTAAACTAATTTATTATATTTTTAAATAAAAAAATATATTTTATAATATATAACTTTTTTTAATAAAAATAGTTACGATACGTTAAAAATTTTACTTAATTTTTTTAATTAAAAAAATTATTAAACATCTAAAAAATACTAATTTTTACAAAAATGCATCAAGTTCTTCTTTTAATATTTCGTTAAATTTTTATAAAATAAAAACTTAATTATTTGAGTAGTTAAACTCATTAAAATTTACGTTTGTGAGATGTCAAAATTGAAGAAAATTAAAATAAATATTATTTTATTTTATTTTTTTGTATAATAATCACTTTATTTGAATTAGATGCGATGAAAATTACATTTTTAGCATATAATTATTTGAGATTTTTCATTGTATTTGATCTTATTCTTATTTAGTTAAAGTTAAAGTAGATATTAAGATGAATAATTTATTGTGTAAGGAATATTATTCCCTTGCCAAGGTTTCATTAGTTAACCATGTCGCAATTTTTCTCGTTATTGTGGATAAAAGAATTTTTCTAAGTCAAAGTTAATTTATGTTACATTAGGGACAGTCTATCAGGCGTTACTCCGCCTAGGAAATACCGGACCGTAATCCTTCCACTGAAGAGAGCGGGAGGTTTTCGTTGCTCTGATCCTAGCCTCATACAGTCTCCTCCACTCTAAAAGTTGAGAGCACTAAGCTTATGCTCAATACTCACAACTCAACTCCCCTCTTGGAATGGGCGAATCAACATTTAATACTCTGAAGGGCAACTTAATAGAGCGAACTAATTTCCAACCACCTAAATGCCCCAACTTTGGTGACAAACCCACGTTACCAGGCTCGACAAGTCAAAGTTAATTTATGAGAATCACATAGTTAGTATAATGAAAAAATTATTCTATATCAATACTCTAGTCTAATGATTAAAATACAATTATTAAATATAAAGGTCATAATTTCTAATTTAATTGAGAATTAAAATTCGTTGCTTTGTGAATATATTATGTAATAATAGTTATCTGCCTATAATATACTTTATTTGTGTTAGATTTTCTATTATATGTGGTCTCTCTCTCTCTTTTTCTATGTCTGTCTATTTTACTCCAATTACATATTTAGATATTAAGTATAATCCACCATAGTTCTTGACTTGGATAGCGTTACCCTCGGAAAACTGCGGAAACCAAATGGAAGAGTGCAAAGCATACCTTTAAGTCATGAAAAAGACTTTTTGGAGTTCACTTTTAAATATCAACAAGTTCTTTCTGAAAGAGATGCAGTTAGACAAGATGTTAGCTTTAATGTGAAAACAACAACTATAGTGTTGCTTGTTGTAATCATACCTGAAAAATTCATTACCAAATATACTTAAATTTCTAATAATTTATGTTTCACTGTGTAAAGTTCTCGTCTAGTGTTCATGAAACAGTTCCAACTTTTCATCAAGCTGTCTATTAATGGAAAAAGTGATTGATTTTCCTTCTAATGCAGATAACTAATGTTGTTAACTTAGTGTCTATCAAAGTTGAGATAGACCATTTTTGCTTTGCTGTTATTGTTTGAATTGTACCCTATGAGGAGAAGATATGAAATAAAAGAAAACTTTGCTCAGAGCTTTAGAGTCTGAATGAAGTCAGAAATTCAAGTACCAAATACTTATGAGTCTCCTGTTTGTGTGTCATTTGCCAGTTACATGTGATCGGCAGATGTGCTGTCGCTACTGATATTGTCCTCATCCTTCCTATAAATTCTTTTTCCCTCTAATGAACTTGTCTTCTCTTACTGAAAATGTATCTATTACTTAACAAGTTATGCTTCTTTTTCAATCCCTTTTTGATACATTCACAGCATGAGTTTTTCGAGTTGATACTTATTTCTGTGTTTCGTAGTATTTTATGTAGTTTTTCTTTTTGAAAAGGAAAATGCTAGAAA